GTGTTGTAATAAAAATCCTAAAAGGATTCGGATTCCCATTAAGATTTGATTAAGGGGGCCCCCCTCCTCAGAAAATCAAGTTTTTCAGGAAAATATCGAAGTTGAGTTTTTATCATAGGAAGATGCAGCGAAGCTTCCTCTTTCAGAATATGTATAGTTTTTTGGAAAATGATCAGATTTTCAAAGACTTATCGCATGAAACTTTAAATCGAGTACCATGTTTTCGGAGAAATTTCCATGGTTTTTCAAGGTTTTCAGTTTCAGAAAAATTGCGCTCCCACTTGCATTATTATTGAATAGAATATTTTTATATGAACCAGCACGTCAGATAGCGCTAGCTACCTTCATATTTTACGTCCTTTAAAATGGTGCAATGGAATATACCATTGTAATATGGCTTGCTCTGGATTTGAATGAAAAAATCCATTTCTAAAAATTTTTTAGCATTTTTCTCAGAATATGGTTTCTCAGCAGGAAAATTGGAATCACTCCATCCCGGTCTTGGGTATTATTCAATATTTTTTTTTGTTTTAAAGCTCTGAATCAGGGCTAACTTTTTATCAGACGGATTTTTGATCCATTTCTCCTAGGCTGAGAAAAGTGGAATTTACTGTCGTTCGAGTGATGTGTTTTTCAGACCTGCCCAGTAAAATGGTCATAAAAAATGAATGGAAAGGAGTTTCAAAAACCCGTCTGATGAAAAGTTGCGCACAGAGATTAGCTTTAATTTGACACCACCCCGAGCTCTCTAGCCTTTACTACGACTGAGTGATTCTCATTCTCCTGGGAGTATGAAAACAGGCCGTAAGTTCGATCTACTCGAGTGTATCGAGATGAAATTTTTAACACAAGCGTATCTTACCAGGACCACTTGTTCCTGAAAGTTTCAGCCCAAATGATTCGTTTTAAGTGAGAAATCGTTTCTGAGGGGGGGGGGGTCCCCTTAAGCTATCAAATTTTTCTCTCAAGGTCTCAGGTTCTCGGAAAAATCGTATTTTCGAATTTCAATCTAAAACTTTGTTCATATCGAGAACTCAATTAGACTGGTTTCTATAAAAAAACTCATAAGTTTTCAACAAAGTCTCTTCGACATATGAAACTTTTAAGAAAATGCAAGTTGTATACATTATCCATGGAAAAGAGTCTATGAGCCGAAGAAACTTTATTTAAAACTTCTAAATTTCTTTATGGAAGTTAGTCTAGTTGAGTTCTCTCTGTGCACAGAGTTTCAGATCAAAGTTCTAAAGTACAAGTTTTCAGAAAACCTGGAGTCTCTCGCAAAAAAAAAGTCGATAGCTTAGGCAAATCTTAATAGGAACTCGAAGTTTTTTTAGAGTTTTGTTTTAGAATAGTCTGTAATATCCATAGGCAAAAAATCATTGAAATCGTAAGAGACAACTGAAGAGGTTCCCTCGTTAGTCTGAAAACGTGATCAAAATCTGTCTGTTAACATTCTCTAATCTCATTCTCTTACTTTAATTTTCTACCAACGAAAAAATGTTGTATCATGTGGTTTAGTAGATATGAGCATTTTTCTTCATGTGTAGTCTTTTCTTCATTCCCATCCATCCCCACATCCTGTACCTTTATTTTTTTGTGCTTACTTAACTTTTCAGTTCTAAAGTTTCTGCTCATACTAATCGTTTCCGTGTTCACTATTCATCAATCTAAATCTTTAGGCGATATGTTATGCCGAAATGGGACGAGCAGAAGAAGCCATAAATATTGTTCATTTACTTGCTGATCAACCACCAATTGATAATGATTATCGTCGAGTATTTCCACTTGTGGTTCGTAATAGAGA